TAGAATCATTCAGAAATTGCAAGAATCGTACGTGCTTGAATGGTAAATTCATATGATATATTCTTCTATATCGATAATCTCGGCTACTGCCAATGCCGCCGACCCCCACAGCCGGGATAACACCTTCCCCAAAGCCTAACCTGGAAGACACTCTGCAAGGTAGGGGTGGCATGCAAGATCCCCAAGGTCCGAAAGCAAATTCACTTCCGGAAAGATCACACTTGTTTTCAGGTCTCCAATGAGGAAAAACATGGCTGGCCAAAGCGCTCTCATTGCAACCTGGCGACGACAAGGATATTCAAGCGATGTGGGTACTTTTTTCGCGTGACATATCTGGATTTCTCAGGCGTGCCTCGTGCGCTCTTAGATGATCTTCAGCTTGGTCAGCACGAGATAGGAGCCAAACGCGAAGGCGGTGAGGAAGGTTGTCAGGCCAAAATATCCAATGACCATGAAAGGTGTGAACTCCCCTGCCACGGGAATCTATGGTCCCTGCTAGCAAAATACCAGCTGTGCTCGCGGCCTACGTCTACATGAGGCAAAAAGCAAGCAAAGCTGCATTCGTGCTGCCTCATTGCTAGGAAGAAACCCTGCCTGTCATGTTGTAGTTCAGGTACTCGTCGCCAGCGGAGGCGACGCCTGGTGCTGCGGCAATGCTGGCGGCCGCCGCCAGGCCACGCAGAGAAGGGGACTCGGCACGAGGGGCCGGCACGAAGGCCTGGCTGCAGCCAGGTCTCAGGCAATCCACCACAACTCCGAGCATGCTCATGTCAAGCTCTAACCTCCTTACGAGCTGTTCCACAGCTCATGATCTCACAACATGTGTCCCAGGTCACCTGAAGAGAGACCAGACCGGCCACAGCAAGCCTTAGTGTTCAGAAACATCTGAGGTGCATAATTTCTGCAGCGGAAGGCCGTGCTAGAGAATGCCCGGGCTGCGTGCTTGATTACGTCAGACAAGCGACAGCAACGATACAAGAAGGCTGGAGCGCGCTCTTGCAACAGCCATGGCACAAAGCTTCTTGGATAAGCCCTTGGGATCCCTCCTCTGTGGCGCCTTGTAGCCAGCTACAGTCGCACAGCATGCACAGCTCCCACAGGGATTAACCGCGCATCTGCAAGTCACATGCTCCACCGATACTTCATCGAGCATTGTTTGGCCTCTGACGATTGGGAGCGATGGATCCCAGCGCTCACTGACTACTTGGCTAATCGGAAAAAGATGTGCCCACCTTCTGCTTGGGCCTCGTGAAACTAGCTGAGGAGTATCTAGGACATGCCAAGTCCGCTGCATTGTTTAAGCCAGCCTCACAGAGGGCAGGGGTTCCACTGCAAGTCATATACGTTGAAAGCTCCAGCAACTTCGGCTGCTCACTTTCGTCACTCAGATGATCTTCAGCTTGGTCAAGACCAGGTAGGAGCCGAAGGCAAAGGCGGTGAGGAAAGTTGTGAGGCCGAAGTAGCCGATGACCATGAAGGGCGTGAACTCACCTGGCAAGTGGCTTGCACTCCCCATGCATCTCAAGCAACGACTGTTACTAATTCCAGCAAATTGTCATTCACACTCGCAGCACTTAAGCTGTAGGAGTGTACTCAGTGGCTCTAAGAAGTCTGAAGCCTGATAGGTTTGTCGCCTTCGGCTTCAACACACTCCGCTGACCAGAAATCATGAAGTAGCTACAGCACCTTCATCAGATACACACAGCCGGGCCTGTCATGTTGTAGTTCAGGTACTCGTCGCCAGCGGAGGCGATGCCTGGTGCTGCGACAATGCTGGCGGCCGCAGCCAGCCCGCGCAGAGAAGGGGACTCGGCACGAGGGGCCGGCACGAAGGCCTGCGACGGAGAAATACGGAGTACAAGCTGGCTTTGCACCCACAGAGCAAGCAGCAGACCACAACAGCAGAACCTGCAGTGTCACCATGGTCACGGCCATCAGCCTTTGGAGGCAAGCATTATGGGCAAAAAAACAACTGGTGGAATCAAAACAGCATAGCGTGCGACCGCGTTGCAGGAGCGAAGCAAAGAGGCTGGAGCGAGTTCGTCCCATTGTTCGGCACAGTCTTTTGCACCCGGGGGCCAATATCCTTTCCTTCTTGGGCCTTTAAGCATTGCGGGCACAGTGCGATGCTGGATGCGCGAACTGCAGTACCCCATGACGGACGTTACAGCCAAGCTGATGCTTCACGGCAGGCTTGACGAAAAGGATCCGTTCCTGAAAGACTGTTCCCAAAGTCTATAGTAGCATTGCTAGTTCCCTGCACAAGCTCCAAATCAGCTGTCAGACAGCTGTCACACCAAAAATTGCTGACAATCTCTGCTGCATTAGATGACATCGGCACAATTCACAGCTACCCTAGTCCATTTAGAGATCAAGAGCACGCACTTCCAGCTCCTGTTTTTTGCCACAGTGTCTGTGACACGGAATTCGGTTCCCGGCACCAGCTGCTAAGGAAAAAGCTCACAGAAGTCGTCCGAGGGCAGAAACTTGCGGAACAGCACGTTCAGATGATCTTCCTTGCTGTTCCAACACACATTGATGGTCTTCTAGGTGAGCACATAGCTGCTGTCTGAGCAAAATGTCCTACCTCTACCTGTGGCCTGGAACTTCAATTGAAGCCTTCCCTGGACCAAACGACAACACGAATCAACCGTTTGATCCCTCCAAGAATCAGCTTGGTCAGGACCAGGTAGGAGCCGAACGCAAATGCAGTCAGGAAAGTAGTAAGGCCAAAGTAGCCGATGACCATGAAGGGCGTGAACTCACCTCTTATCGGCACATAAAGCATATCACGCGTCAAAGGCGTGCATATAGAACCCAGCCTGTCATGTTGTAGTTCAGGTACTCGTCGCCAGCGGAGGCGACGCCCGGTGCTGCCGCGACGCTGGCAGCCACAGCCAGGCCCCGCAGAGAAGGGGACTCTGCACGGGGGGCCGGGACAAACGCCTGACACCCAAGGATGCAAACGCTGATCTTTGTGAACAAGAACTGCGTCTGGCTACAGTGACGAAAGCCGTGGCCCCTCCTGCAGCGACACGAGGCAAGCCACGGCCAACCTTAGCCAGGTGGGTGAGTGTGGGGAGTGAGGGTGGCGAGCTTAGAAGAGCAAGCTAAGCGAGCTCATAAGACAGGCCGCAACAACGCGGTCAGAAGACCAGAGCGTGCACGAGTCTCGGCCATGGCTCTGGAGTCGTCAGATACTCTTCCTGCCTCACTGCTTGCGCCAGAAACCTTCGGCAACCAGACAGCTTTGCCCAAGCAAAGCTCAGAGAGCCGAGCGGCTTCCTCATCTTCATTGCCTAAACTCCGAGCTCACTGTCTCACCCTTGAGGTGCTGCCCCTTCTGACGCATATGAACTTTCTTTTTGGATCGCTTCCTACCAGAATATCAAAACACCTGACTGGACAGGGCTTTGTGAAGTATGCAGCAACTCGGCATCCTACAGCTTCATTGGGTCAAAAGAAAGGCGGCACTACCAAAGCTTGGCGAAGCCTATCACCAATACCACGTGTCCAACAGCAGATGCCGCGGCCATATTTCTGTTCATCAGCGTCGTCACAGTTTGAAGCGCGACTTGCGGCCGAAGGGCACTATCTTTTTTCCGGAGGATGCGCACGGCATTAAAATGGTACAGTGCGCAAATCCCTCCTCCAGCAACCACTGGAAACACACCGCGCTGAGAGCGCCCGAAGGGCTTCAAGCAGCAGCTGTGGCAGCATTCCGCACGCTGTTTTTGCATGCCGACTGCACTGCCGTGACACAATCTCACATAGAATTTGTGTTAACTTGGAGTGGCCAGGTCTGACTTGCCATCCCGCGCTCTTTGAGGTGGCTCCACCTCCTGCCCGGATCTGCCGCGGGCATCGGCCATGGGCCATCCGGCAGGCCTTTTGTGGGTGGAGTTGCGGAGTTTAGGACTCAAGCCCATTCATTTAGCAATGTTAGGGAGTTCGGGGAATTTCGGGGATCTAGCCCCGAGGGATTGAGGAAGGAAGAGGCCGAAAGTCCGCCGACCCTGGGGCAGCGTGTTGGATGGTTCTGGGGGGAGGCCTTGCACCTCTTGAAGGGGGTGAGTAAGAAGGGCGAAACAAGACGAGCATCATGAGCATTTGACAGCCAAGCATCGGCCCTTAAAGGGTCGTGTGACGCGCATCGACCTTCCTTTTCTCATTCGGGGCCGTCGACTTCTGACTGGGTGCCTTCTTGGCAGTCCCGGGTCTGAGGCGTGGCCGGCTCCAGGCGACAGCCCAGTAACGACTGCCTTTCCCAATGTGGCCCTGAACCTGCAACGCATGCTCGGCACATCTTGTCTTATTGAGATCAGGAGAAGAATGGAGAAGATCGAGCGAGCTCAACCTTACGATCAAGCAAGGGCTTACTGAACATTGCTGGGGCATCCAGGTCAAAGGCCAAACAACGGTCGTCACATGCCCGACTGGATTACGACAGTCATCCATTGGCTTGTTGGCGTTCCCCGACCGCATTAATGGCTTGACAAGTCGCTGATTCGCTTCTGCACTCTTCTTCATCATCTGGTAAAGCTGCATCTGCCAGAGCCACATGCAGAATCAATTGGAAGCTGTGTGAGTTGTACGACTGCAACTGCTGCTACGGCAAGCACAAGCAGGTACTGGAACGGCATTCGAGTCAATTTAGCTTCTGCAGTTGACCATCACAACAGCTACCATAATGCAGCTCCCCCCCAGCCATCGCTCAAACATTCACCCACCTCTGTCCCGGCGTCCTTCCTCCACTCCGCATCCATCAACAAAAGGCCGAACTCCAGGGACCCCAGCGGCATCAGATCTCAAAGATGTACAGGCTGCAACTAATATGTGAAGGTGCTAAGTCTGGACCATGCTCTAACACATCCTCAGACGGTCCGAAGGATTTCTCACACATTCTAACATGTAGCGGTCGAAGACCGCTTCCAAAGATGCAATGTCATGGGTTCCAGTCGGTTTCCACAACAACCCAGAGCCAGAATCTCTCCACACAACAAGATGCAAACGTGGAGTTCAACTTCCACGCGCTCTCCTCGAACATCTCAGCAAGACCCAAAAGACAACCTGCACAAGTCAACCCAAGCCTCAGCATGCCAAACAGCAGCCCTGACTCACAAAACGCATCCAACGATACTCTGTGACATTGCGTCCTTTTTCCATCGAGCTCCCCAGCGATATACTTGCAGAGAGGGTTCGGCTTCGCCGAACCTGTCTCCGCAATCGGAGACTTGGGGGGTCGGACGGGCTCGGTGGTCGGATCCCTGGGAGATTCGAAATGAAGTTTCATTCTCATGGCTACGTTGCTCAACATGATCGTTTCACAACGCCACTCAATTTCCCCCTCATGTCGTGGCAGTATCAATCCGACACCAGCGGGCCCAGACCCTGCATTCAAAAGCCCATCCACAGCTGCTCACGGCCTGACATCTTAAGAATTTGTTCGCAGTTACTGGAGCATCAGAGGAAAGCAGACTAGGTAACGAATTCGCATGCAAAGCAAATCACAGCTCGGACACGCTGGCGCATCGTGATGGTGCATTGAAATATTCGAACAAGCGTACTGATCATGTGCTGAGCCTGTTGTCCGACGGCAACGCATTTTAACATATTCTGACTGAAAGCTGTCACTGCTTGTCCAATTCGCCGTCGAGCCTCACCTGCCAAGTATAATAGTACCATGGTGATGTTGCTCCCGCTGCTGGTAGCCGTAACAGGAACATGTCCACGCTCGCCATGCATCTCTCTCATGTCTCAGCTCTGAGCAGTCAATCCAACGTGAGGTGGCTGAACATTCTGGCTACACAGGCAATCGCCAGCCTGGCCTTGAAACACCGACCGGAAGAGCATCTACATGCCGGAAGCGGCACCTCAATCATCACAGCATGGTACACATGTAGTAATTCCGCATATGGTTCATATTAACATATGGCTGAGACATGAGGACCCTCCAATTCGACAGCCGTCTCGCTTATCGTGCCACACAGCCCCCCAGCGCAGAGATGGCAGAGATGGGTAAGATGGGCAGAGAGCTCCGACCAGTCCTCCATGCTTGTCTCAGGAACCGTGTGGAACGTGAGCGACCCCTTCTTTAGGGGCTGGAGCTCTGTACCAGCCACAAGCGAGACAAAAACAGACAAGACACAAACGCCACACAAGCGAGCGCAGATCCGCCATGGGCACATGGGTACGGCGGCATGGCGCTGGACACTCGGCACTGCACAACTCTCATGGAAACAGAAGATGCGAGCACTCCAGGGACTGAACTCATGGCAGGTGAAGCCCCGGAGTTCCAGCTTTGCCTGAGAGGCATTCAATTCTGAGTGTTGAGCTGACATAGCTTCCCCCGAGTTCCAGCTTTGCCTTGCAGCCCTCCCTGCGCCGAAGAACTCTGGGACTCTAGGGCTTGGGGTGCTTTAGGGCTTGGGGCGTCTGAGGTTGTGGGTTCACTCCTGAAACTCTCAAGTCGGCTTGAGTCGCGTGGTGCTTGTTGCAGCTGCACTTCCTGTAGCCAGGTCTTCAACCACAGGAGCTGCTTGTGTCACAGTATCGGTCCGGAATGGCCAAGCAGTGATATTTGAATGGCAGTGTTCACAACAGAGCAGTTGGCAAGACGGCTAAGTTCAGTTGCTCCCCAGCCTGGGCTGGGCGCTCCTTGTGGTGGCCTCAACTCCCATCACTTCTTGTTGGACTCTCTGTAGCTGCCACACACAAGTCAGTGCAAATCAACTCGTGTTATCAAAACCACATTCCAGGACCACCGTATCTTCGAGAGCAAGAGCCGGTGTACAGCACCGGAACATACCAACATGTCCTCTACAGACTCTACAGTATCAGTCCGACTGCACCCACCACCTCCGAAGCTGCCCCCGGCATGCCCGAGTGGCACAGCGCCGGCTCGCTGCTCGTTGCGCCAGTACTCGGCTGCCATTCGTGCCACCTCCACTGCAAACGCTGCAATGGCCGCAGGTCCAGACCGAACTCAGCGCGCCTCGTCCTAACCTACGCGACTTCCCCACCGTTTTCGCCCCATGCTGCGTAGGCGGGGCACGTCCAGTCCACCGCAACGTCTATTTTAGATGCGAGACATGGTAACCAGGTGACAACTCTTGGACCGCACCGTAGAATTCGTCGCCAGCCGCTCCGGCGGTGCACATGGGAGTGCACGGGCACGCGTTGACCTATCAGGGATGGCTGCAGGAAACCTGGCTTCCATCAAGCAGCGAAAATCCCAAACACCCCTTGAGAACAACAGTGTAAGGGCGATGAGAAAACAAATCCCCATCTGCTTCCAATGTCTGTAGGTCGCGGGGAAAGCCTGAGGGGAGGGAGGAAACGTGGGCCAGCAGCGCCCCGCACCGAGAAGACGGCTGCTGGCCTCCCACACATGCAGCAGCATCAGGTTTGGCACATTTGGCTCTGCACCTCGTACTGCCCTTGTCTTGCAACTCTGCGAAACTCGTCGCCTCTCCCACTTCGTGCGCCAGTCTTGCGGCA